AATTTTATGATATTTACAAATTTATATTTTATTAAAAAATAAATGCATTATCATTTTCTCAAAACCACATAAAACCGTATTATATCGACATAAAAAATGAATAAAACGAAACACTGAAATCAAGATGTGTCTCGATGCATTGCATGAGTACCCTTCTAGTTAATTAGTAATGAATAAATGTCAATAAAACCGAATAAAGCCCAATAAGACGCACTAAAATTGAATAAAGTCCAATAAATGAATTAAGGCTCAATAAAAACCAATAAAGTCTAATAAAGTCCAATTAAACCGAATAAAACCCAATAAAAACGAATAAATCTCAATAAGACCCATTAAGTCCAATAAAACCGAATAAAACTTATTAAGTCCAATAAAACCGAATAAAACCCAATAAAATGAATTAAAACCCAATAAAAACGAATAAAGCTCAATAAGACCCATTAAGCCCAATAAAACCGAATAAAACCCAATAAAAACAAATAAAGCTCAATAAGGCCCATTAAGCCTAATAAAACCCAATAAACTGAATAAAGCTCAATAAAACCGAATAAAGCCAATTAAGAGGCACTAAAATAGAATAAAGCCCAATAAATGAATTAAGAACCAGTAAAAACGAATAAATCTCATTAAAGCCTAACTAAACCGAATAAGGCCATAAAATGGATTAAAACCAAATAAAATCCAATAAGGCTCATTAAAATCCAATAAAACCGAATAAAGTCCAATAAAACCGAATTTAAATAAAATACCAAAAAAATTCATGTTGAACATAAATGAACTACCCAAAAAAGTACATGAAATAAAATAATAATATAATATTCTATTTGATTTAACTAAACTAATAAAAAAACACCAAAAAACCAAATTATTTGACCTAAAACTAGAATAACCGAAAATCGATTTGATTTGGATGGGCCATTAATTCAACTTCCAAATCTTTTACAGCTTTATATTTGATCTTATTGACTTATTTCGGTATGACATCGGTAATAAGCACTTTTGAATGTTTGGATAAACAACTTATACCTATGTCAAACCAGTAATAATTTTTTTTTAAAGAAGTTAAACCTTTTTGATTTATAATAAGTTAATAAGTATTTTTATAGAAAAGCATGAGTTGTTTCAAATAAATAATCTCAAACACCCCCTTAATCACTAAATTTTTAGATCAATGTTAATCATTTATTTTTATGTTTATAACACAGCAAAAATCATTGATTTAATTAAAAAAAACTTTATTTAAAAATATCTTTAAAAAAAAACCAATAAATAGTTGTTTGCGACCATTACCCATGCAATTTGTCTTTGTCCCCGGTCCCCACAAGACAAAGTCCAAGAAACCATTCCCACAGATCTCCAATTTTATATTTTAAATCACTCATTATTATCTTCAAAAAAAAATACTTCAAAAGTGTATATTATATATAATTGTTTGATAATAATTTAATAATATAAAAACTGATTTATTTTATAGGAAAAAGTTTATACAGAAAGCCAAGTTTTTATTAAATTTATCCCTTTTAATTAAAGGACACGAAAAACCTTTAAAATATATGTGTTTTTCAATTTATACAGATAAATTAATACATATGGACAATTTTATCTATGTAAGATTTAATAGAAAATCAACCAAATAACTTCGTAAAGCTAAGATGAGAAACATAACAAGAGATTTTCATCATTTGATGCACATTAGGATGAGATGTAGCAGATCAATCCCCGTATCAAACGCGATTCATGGATGGGATCCGGTGCATGAATCATGTTTGATGCAGAGATTAATCTGGTACATCTCATTTTAATATGCATTTTAGGATGAAGATGACTTCTTGCATTTATGGAGACTTTGGTACTCGGGGATGAAATACACAATCTTAAAGATAATTCTGATATATAAAGGGTGAGGATATATGCACCCCTCCTACATTTTAGGTCAAAGTCAATTAATTACATTAATTTTTTTTCAAAAATTCATGTCTTATAAATTATTGTTTTCTAATTTTAATTTTCTAAATTTATGTTTTATAATAAATTTTTGCCAACTAACTATTTCAAATTAATTCAAATAGCTATAAAATTATTTTTAGCTTTTATAATTGTATTGTTAACATTTTAATTAATTAATAATTTATATAGGTATTTTTTTCTAAATAAATATTTAAAACTACAAAGATAAAATTATTTAATACAAAAAAATATCAAAATAAGTTAATTGATAAATCAACAAATAGAGTACAAAAAGTCTGAAAATTAAATGAAATAAATTCCGTAGTACGATTACTAGATAACATTTGTTCGTACTTATTTATGCGGGTCATGTACGTAGTAGCCCATGTGGTCGCGCAATCATATTTGTAACGAAACCAATTTGGCACGATAGAAGACATCGGGTGCCCTTCTGCCAAAGATATTTTAACGTAATGATTGTCGTTAACGTACCCAATAATAAAAGCAACATGCTCATACCACGACGAAGGATTAGATCGAAGTGGGAAGAACGTCAGACTACCTATAGTTGTTAAAGAATGTAGTATCACATTGTATCTTGAAGCAATCAACATGCCCGTTTCAAAAACATCCATCCAATGCTCATTTGGTGCAAACGAGTCCAGCTCAAAGAAGTTTAAGGAGTTATAAAGTTGATGTTATAGTTCAATGTCATACACCTCGAGATATTCTGTCTTGTACATGTTTAACTCCTCCATTAAATCATATCGAATAGATGGTCATTCATCTTCGTGGCGACCGAAACAAACGGTTATCGCTCGAAATTCACAGTTTCCATCGCCTGTTACATCTTGTACATGTATGATGTAAAAATGAAATTATTTAAAAATTGATTAATACATTCAGATAAAAAAATAACTTACATGAACTACGTTACGTACCTGCATGATGTAAGGATGAAAAATACTTGGAATAAATAATAATAATTTGTTAGTTTATAGTAATTATAATACTTGGAATAGATAATAATACTTATAATATTTAAATTTGATTAATATATAATACAAATAAATTTTTTAATTAATATAGATTAAGAGAGAGAAAAATTCAAATTTTCATATCATTTAATGTTATTAATAGGTAATCTTTGACTTTTTTAATAGGTGGGGTGTAAATAACAACCCCTTATATAAACTAGTTGTGTATCCATATAATGAGGTGGTAGCCGTAAATTTTAACGATTTTGAATTTATGAATTGAATTAACGACTATGAGTGTTGCTTTCTGGAAGTGATTTGGTATAAGTTGCAACAAAGTTGAAGGTTCTTTATTTCAATCCTTATTTTGAAAAGTTTGATTTTGGCGCATACAATAGATATTTCAAATAAGAAAGTATAGCAAAAAAAGAACTCGAAAATGAATTCGTTCTATTTTTTTAGCATATTCGTTTGAAAGACACTAGAATGATTCTTTATGCATGAAGTACCGTGTATTGATGCATATTACTTAAAATTTAATGTTACAAGTAAATTGTACGTTTGTACAACTTATTAAAGTTCTATTTTTGAACTCGTATAACTAACTACAGATAAACATAATCAAATACAAAATAAATATCTCATTTTAAATATAAAAAATCTAAAATGTAATTAGGATAATTATTGAATTCTAACAGAATCATTATCTTTATAATTTTTTTATTATTAAGCCAAAAATAAATTACTTTACTATTTGACTTAAATTAAATTATAATAAAAAAATTGAATTAAAGAAATTGTACAAAAAAAAAAAAAAAAACTTTTAAATAGTTAATTTGATATTAATATCGATATATTTTTCAAAATTTTATGATGTCTACAAATTTATTTTTATTTAAAAGTAAAAACATCATCTTTCTCAAAACCACATAAACCGTATTTATCAACAGATATAAAAAATAAAACGAACATTAAATTGAATATGTATATCGCTGCATTATGTGAGTACCATTCTAGTGTCTTTCAAACGAATATGCTAAAAAATAGAACGAATTCATTTTTGAGTTTTTTTTTTGCTATACTTTCTTATTTGAAATATCTATTGTATACGCCAAAATCAAACTTTTCAAAATAAGGATTGAAATAAAGAACCTTCAATTTTGTTGCAACTTATACCAAATCACTTTCAGAAAGCAACACTCATAGCTGTAAAGATTTCACGATGATATAAGTTACACTTGATCTTTACATATTAATACAATTTGAATAAATAAGAGTTATAGTTCCAATTACAATTTATCGATGGAAAAAATTGTATGACAGTTTAAAATCTAACATATTTAAACGACTCCACAAATGTATTTGATTAACACCAAGAGCAAAGAATCAAGAGATCGAGAGCGAGAGTTGTAGAGCAATTTAATAACTCATGGTGAATATCAGTTTGAATCTCACATTGAGGGATGAAGAGAAAACATAGAGGTATGAGAGGGTGAAGACATGAGTGAAAGATGACAAAAGTATATTCGAAACATGAAAATAAAAAGTAATAATGTGCATTAGTAACTTGTATTATGTGTTATTTTAATTGTAATTAAGAGATTTTAAGATTGAATGCATTAAGTAGTTTTATTTAATGCATTATGAATTATTTTTAAGATTTTGTGTATAAATGTTCGTACTTTGTGCATTAAAAATTATTTTTATAACTTTCAATAAATTTGTTTTATAAGGTAATATAGATAATTATTTAACTTTATATTTATTTAAAAAAAATTAACTAATTATCTGGAACATGTTAGAACTTTTTATTACTGAGATTTTAGATATAAATGACATCACATTACAATTTTATACGGTTTAAAATATGCAATTTGAAGATATTTTATTTTCTTTTTATAGATTTTATTTGTCTGGTTCCATTTAAAAAAAAAAAAGAAAAAAGAAAAAAGAAAAAAAAAGTAAAAGAAAAGGGGCGCAGTGGATAAGCCGCTTACGTGTCACTCGTGCCTTAATTCCCTTCTCACCATGGTTTTTCCATGTGTCACTCTTCCCTTCTCCCTTCCACTTGTACTCACCGGATTCTAGAACTATCCAGATTACCACGCTAAATATCTCCTCCACCTCCACCTCCACCTCCACCGCCACCATATAAATTGCTCAACTGAATTTTCCGGTCATCTAGGTTTTCATCTTCACTCATTGGGTGGAAATGGCGGCGAAATCACGAAGAACAGCTAACATAAATGTAAGAGAGTTTGAGAATTTCTTTCAAGGATGGTTAGTTCGTCAGGAACATTACCTGGAAGAGCTCCGATCGGCTTTGCGAATCTGTGATGAATCGCGCGATGAAGATCTATGTGATCTGATTGCTCGTGTTCTTGAGCATTACCAGCAGTACTACGAGGAGAAATCTCGAATCGCGAATTATGACGTGTCGTTGGTTTTCTCGCCGCCGTGGTTTTCGCCCTTTGAACAGAGTTTTTTCTGGATCGCTGGATTTAAACCTGGATTAGCGTTTCGGATCTTAGCTGCATCGGTGGATGATATGAGTAAGGAACAGTCGGAGAGAATGGAGACGTTGAAAGTGGAAATGAAGACAGAGGAGAGGGAACTGGAGAATGAGTTGGCTAGGATTCAGGAGAGTGTGGCGGCGCCACCGATTGTTGAGGTTGCGAGGAAGGATAATTTGCCGGTGGATGGGGAGTACGACACGGCAGATATGGAATCGGTGATGGAGACACTGAAAAGCGAGATGGAGGTGGTTTTAGCGAACGCCGATATGTTGAGGTCAAGGACGGCGGAGCGGTTGGTGGAGATATTGACGCCGGTTCAGAATGTTAGGTTTTTAACGGCGGTGACGGAGTTGCAGCTCAAAATCAGGATGTGGGGATCGCAGATGGACGCCGATAGACGACGACGATGATGTTGTACGGACTTTTTCTTCCACTGGTAATGGATTCCCGTTTTTTTTCTTTTCATTATAGTAATCGAACAACGGTTATTTAAGGCTTAACAAACTCTAATTAGTTAAATAATTATTAAACGAAGAAAATAGAAAAAAATTTAAAAAAACTAAATTGACTTTATTATTTGGAATGATTAAGTTCATAAATAATTTTTTAAAGCAAATAATTCTTTGCATATTTTAAAATATATTAAATAAGTCTTTAAACTTTTTAAAACTTATTAGATACATTCTTATGACTTATACGATTGGTTAATATGATAAAATAATAATAAAAAAATTAGAAAAAAACTAATGAACTTTCATATTTTAAACAATTCAAGTATTTGAAATTTTTTTAACCAAAAAAATTTTAAAAAAATTATATATCTATACAATGAAACAAATATATCAAAAATATATTTATATTTAAAAAGAGTATTGATGAAATTTATTTTAATTAATAATAAAATCTATACTTATGATAAATAAGTAACTTGGGTGACATATGTTATCTTCTGGTGAGTCGGTTTTCTTATTTACATTAGTGGTTCAATTAGATTCATTTGAACCTATCTAGACACAATTTACATTAATAGTTCAATTATATACATTTGATTGACATATGTCATCTTATTCAATCAATCCCGCTAATTTAGGATACAATTGATTTTATTCATGAGTTAATTAATTTATGTGGTAACTGATTTTTGGAAAAACAATGGTGTTTACTTATAAGTTTATATTCAATTTATTGATATAGTTTAATTTCTAAATTCAATTTTATTCTAGGGTTAACTTCATTTTATTATAAATTCAATTTACTGAAATGTTTTACTTTAAAGTTATATCAAGAGAACAAGTCTGAAGTCATTTTTTAGAGTTAGCTTATCCAAACTCTGAAGTTTGCTTTTTCAGACATAGCTCATCCGAACTCTGGAGTCTGAATATTGAAGTCTTCTTTTTCAGACTTAAAAGTCTGAACTCTGAAGTCTTCTACAAGTCTGAAGAGTATAAAGTCTGAGAAGTCATTCTTCAGAGTTAGCTCATCTGAATTCTGAAGTTGTCTTTTTCAGACTTAGCTCACCCGAACTCTGAAGTCTGAACTTTGAAGTCTTTTTTTTTCAGACTTAAAAGTCTGAACTCTGATTTAGTGAGATTGATTTTATATACTTCAGAGTTATTTCAAGAGTACAAGTCCGAAGAATTATCCTTCAGAGTTATTTTCAGAGTATAAATCTGAAGGGCATTTTTTTCAGAGTTAGCTCATCCGAACTCTAAAGTCTTTTTTTCAGACGGAGCACCATGCAGAGCCTTTGCATAGTGCATACAGAGCTTTTGGCTTGCCTATAAAGAGCTTTGAAGTCTGATGTGTTTTACTTCAGAGTTATTTCAAGAGTACAATTATGAATAGTCATTCTAAATTTACTTCTAAGTTTAAATTCAATTTATTGATATAGTTTATTTCTAAATTTAATTTTATCCTAAGGTTAATTTTATTTTAACTAATGATTGATATAGTTCAATTTCTAAATTCAAGTCTGAAGAGTTATTTTTTAAAGTTATTGTTCAGAGTTATTTCAAGAGTACAAGTTTGAAGTAACATCGTACTTTCCATGACGTAAAATAAGTTCTTGACATGATTTAATTTTTTTCAAATTACTCCGTGTAATACACGTGATCGAATCTAGTAAATATATCTAATTTTTCAAATTAGAAAAAAAAATGATTTAAAAAGGATTAGTAATTAAATTTATTCTAATTAAAAATAGAATATATATTTTGTATATAATTTTTCAAATTAAAAAAATATTTAAAAAGAATTACGGATGAAATTTATTTTGATTAAAAATAAAACATATTTCATTGGTGATTTTTTAAATTAAAAAAATAAAAAATAAATTGATTAAATTAGTGACAGATTAATGTTAAAATTTAACTAAATATATAATTAATTAAAATTTGTCGTTAATCCGTTGGTGAAATGATATCCGAACATTAAAGTCCATTGAGTTTTTTTAGACTTTTTCTAAGAAAATAGTATTAAAATATATAACCAAGTTTGGTTTATTTTCTATACAATATTTTTTAATTATAGAAAAATTTCAAAATTTTTTGTTTGTACAATTTTAATTGGTAACTTGTTGATCTACTAATTCGGTGTGATACCCATTTACGAAATGTTTGGGATATGGTAAATTGAACGATAAACTTTGACATGGACACACCTATAGTGGCGCATACGGTGGCACGTGCCACCGTATTATTCATCTGTCGGGAAAAAAAATTAGGTTTGTAAAAGGTGCAACCGTGTTAATTTGTTGTGTGTCAAGGTATGTATTTTGAAACTACAATGAGAACAAATTTTATTTGGTAGAGTTGGTTTGCAATGCTTTTATTCCATCCTAGACCCAACTTCGAATTTTATGAGTGTCATTTTCTTAGTCAAATGGTGTCAGGGTTTGAAAAAAAGTTATGTATATTTGTTTCTTATGGTCAAACGGTGCCACCATTTGAAAAAATTTCACTATATATTTTTCTCATAGTCAAATGGTGCCACCGTTTGAAAAAATTTATGAGTTTGTTCCTGCTTTGACATTCATGTATTAGAGATTTAGTTGTTAACCTTGTAGGGTTAACTTATCAGAGGTCACCATTTCGAGTCTTGTTAAAGCGAGTCGGAATTTTCTTGTATGTTTTTCCAAAGACCTTGGAAAATTAGCAGAGGAACGGGCTAGCTGGTCGGACACGTATGGTTAATAAAAAAGGGTCAAGTGTTTGTGGAAAATAAAAAGTTTTGAACTCTTTTATTTTTTTGAAGTAATAAATTAATTTGTTACTCTTAATAAATGGAATGACTAAATAAATACATTTTCCTATATTATTATAGGCTTTCATTAACCAAATAAATTCCCTAACAGTGTTTTTAGAAGCTTGAACTTTACTGGTAACCTAGGTATCTGTATCAATAACCTTTGGTGATGGTCAGTAAGAAGTTGTCACTGTCTACCATGACTATTTTAGGGGCCGTCTACTAAATGTTTACCCGGGTAAGCGTTTACTAAGTCACATTACCTTATCGGATGTATATGGCAATGACCAAGAATCTTATCTGTAAGAGCGAATGCAGTGACTGAGAGTCTTACCCGACAAGTGAAGACAATGACTCTTATCATGGTGGATATAATTTCGTTGACTAAAATCCTACCAGAGAAGTAAGTGATAGTGTTGATTTTTGCTGGTAATACACGAGTAAACGTTAGGTAAACAACCCCTTAGATTCACAAATCCTAACTCACTGAAACCTTAAGATATCACAAAAGCCTACGTCTAGAAAATCTGTCAAGTTTAAAGATTCTTGGAGTGTCATCGAACTTTTTCTTCTTGTTTGCAAAATCTTGGTGGGTGCGTAAGAATTCTTCGAGAATTTATATCATTCATGATGTATTTTAACTTCGCATATCATCCGAGTATTAACAATGCAAAACAATGCTGACTATATTTTAATTGTTTCTCAAAACGTCACATGACGAGTTTAATGATTGTTTTTTTTTGCATATGTTTGCTACTTTTGTATGGGAAATTTTATCTGTTCGGACTATTTTAGTTTTTATTTAGCGTATCACAGAGTATGATGTTATATCTGTATATGACCTTTTTCTACTTGTGATCCACAGTTGTTTAAAAGAGGTGGTGATCGAGAGCATTTCAAATGACTGGTGTTGGTCCTTAAGTATTACACTTAGAAGACGTTTTTAGTCTTTTCTTTTTATAGTATGATTACAAGCAGATATAGTATGTATTAATGTTTTTGTAGTTTTATTATATATATATATGAGCTTTTTTTTGTCAGCGTCAGAGAATTATAGGTGTGGATGGCTTGTAGCCCTGATTTTACCCGATAAAAGTAATAGTGAAAGACAAGCGAGCGTTAGTAGTTCCCTTTAACTAAGAGCATGACCGACCCTCTTAGGGACTTCCTTTATTGGTGAAGCTCCTTCTCATTCCTCCCTCTTAGTTCTTGGATCTTTTTCCCTCGAGTCTCGTATACAGTAAGTTGAGGATGTCAACTTTTTATCAGAAGAGATGAGGAGAGCAGATAACGATGGGCGACATTTGACTGATTGTGGGCATGATTAAGATGTCCGTTTTTATATGTTTTGGCCATGTGTGTTTCCGCTTAAGAGGGGTGTGTTATTTGAGATGATTTAGAGAGGATGATCTTGAATGGAAGATCAAAATCAAATGTCAATTGAAGTAAAGAGTTAATTACAGATTTCGTCCTTGTAATTACATGAAAGTTACGGTTTGGGTTCCTAACCCTAAAAAATTATGAATCAAGTACGTATGCTTTCATTTTTGTTATAGATTTGGTACCTTCTCTTTAACTCCGTTAGAAAAAGTTATGACATTTTACGTCATATAAGGAATCCGAACCACGTATCACCACCTCCTATCTGACATGTTCCCCCACCGCACAGTGGCAGATAGGGGTGCTCAAAAACCCGATGAACCCGACCAACCCAACCCGAATTTAAAAAAAAAAAACCCAACCCGAGGTAACCCGATGCATGATCGATAAAAAAATTAGCCAACCCGACCTTATTGGGTTGGAATCGGGTCAGGCCCAAAAAAAACCCGACCAACCCGACAACCCGATGAACCCGACCTTAACTTTAGCTTTGAATTGTAGATGACAATCATGACATGACCAACCTCAACGTCAAGAAAGCGAAAGCATTGGGGTTGGAAACGTCTAAAACTATTGTTGTTGATTGATGTATTATCATTTGGTTTAAACATTTTTATTGTAATATCTAAATATTTGATAAACTTGCATATTATCTTGAATGRTCGGTCGTATTTYAAAGGAAAGTTTYCTTTATTTTTATGTGATTTTACATTGTTTAAACACAACCCGATCAACCCGAACGGGTTGGGTTGGGTTGGGTTGAACTTTTGTTTGGGTTGGGTTGGGTTGAAAATTTTCAAACCGCCAACATTGAGTTGGGTTGTTAAAATGGCTCCAAACCGATCAACTCGGGCCGTGAGCACCCCTAGTGGCAGAGCCACATGGGAGCTAGAAGCTTCTCCCTCAAGAATTTTAATTCTTTTTGTAAATATATGTAATTTTATAATAGCGTTTAGTTGTTTACCCATTTAGTGGAAATTTTTTTTTTATTTATATGTAGGGTTGTAAACGAACTGAACATTCACCGAATTGTTTGTGAAGCGTTCGGTGAGAAGTTCGCTTATGTTTGTTTATTTAATAAATGAACGAACATGAACAAAATTTTTTGTTCGTTTACATGAACAAGAGTCTCGTTCGTTCATTTACCGTTCGTTTATATTCGTTCGTTTATGTTTGTTTATATATTACATTTAATATATAATCTTTTATTTATGTACTTTGAATTTAAATAATATTTATTTATGTTCGTTTAGCATGTTAATGAACGAACATGAATAAACACGAACACACCTGATTTCTAAACGAACACGCACACAAAGATTTTCGTTCGTTTACTATTCGTGTTTGTTCATTTGTTCGGTTAAGTAAAATGAACGAACATGAATAAGCCTTCATTCGAGTTCGTGCGATTCGTTTACAGCCCTGTCTATATACACCTTTGGTTCTTGCATAAGTAAAATTTGTGTTAACGAAAATGTGCAAAAGATCCATTTGTCAGCTTTGAATCCAACACTTGCTTTCGTCTCTGTTTGCGATTGAGAGTGGATTTTAGGTTCTACTTGGGACTTTATCATCTATTTTGATTCATTTTTTAAAGATGGTTTAATCATGGAGTTTTTTCATAGAATTTCAGCAGATGAGAACTCGTTGAACGCATCGTTGAATATGTAAAAGTTGGTATCTCAATTGAATTCATGCAATAACACAGCGGTTGCCATATTAAGACATTTATTTGTCTTTTTAATTTCTTTCTATTAAATGAGATATTAGATGAAGTATAACGAGAGATGGAAAGAAACATCAAGAAACGTAGTAAAATGAAAAAAAAATGATTTTTATTAATTTATTAATGAGCTAATATCTATACTATCTTATAAAGCAATTAGCTAAAACTCTTAAAAACTCTTAAACACGTTCATCTCTATCCAATTTCATCTCATATCTAAATTCGTGTAACTAACTGTAGATAAACACAATCAAATACACGATAAACAACTCATTTTAAATTTAAAAAATTTAAAATATAATTATAATAATCATTGAGTTCTAACATAATACTTAATTATTACCTTTATAAAATGTTATATTATTAAA